TGAAGAATCATTGGATGTCATAATAAATTGGGTTTTTTTAAAACGAAAAATAAATTGTTATTTCTAATATATTTATATATATACATAAAAATTACATTTGGGGTTCTACATAAGGGTGATAAGCCAAGAGATCAAGTCTGGGAAGAAAGGAGAAAAGAGTTAGGTACCGTATTTTTCAGAGTATAAGACGCTCTGATGTATAAGAGACACTTAGTTTTTGGGGAGGAAAACAAGGGGGGGAAATCTGTTTCTGCCTCCCAGCAATTTGCCTCCTTGCAGCAAACAGTACAGACGATATACAGTGTTTATGGTGTTACATTTCAAACTATACTTGTACAGATGCTGTTAGAATTGATGTGGCTTTCTGGAAGTATACGTTATTCTCTGCTATTTAAAAGAAGATACAATAGAACTGAGTGTCTTCAGATAAACATTTATTTTAAAAAGGCTTCTTCATTTTGTTAAGTTGTCTAGAACAATAATAAAGCAGTCTTTAAAAAATAAGTCTAACAATTTGAATATTGCTATGCCTATTCATTGGTTGACCTTGTTCCCATGTCTCTCCCAGTCGTGAATATTATAACAGGTGGATGTCCCAACATTTTGAGCAGAAGTAGGGAAGTTGCAGCTGGTAGTTGGAGTTGCTGTTCTTGGGGTTCCATCAGATTGCTTTTCTCATATTGAGTCTTTCCATATTTTCTCTGATCTTTTATCTGTGTGTTCTGCATTTTTCCATTTTCAGTATTAAGACTGAAGCAGGCAGACTGGCAGATTCCAGTGATTGTTAAATATTATCTTTTGATAACAAGTTTTAAAAGTAGCATTTAATAGGATCCCACAAAACAGGGCTGATGATGGTAATACTTTCTCTGGATAACATCGCTCAGCTTTTGATAAAGGCCAGTTTTCTAAACTACGTAAGTTGGATAAGAATTCCCATTGCCAGCACCCACTGTGGCTAGTTGACATGATGGATAAGGATGGCAGGAGTTATAGCCAGGGTGATATAAATCTTAAAATGCAGGGCCAGTAAACAGAACCTTGATGGGTTGAATTCAAATGTTCTAGTCCATATTTTGGCTTACAAGAAACTCTTAGTGATTTGAGCCAAGACAATGTTTTCAAAAACTTCAAGTATTTAAAATCTAAGCTAGTAAAAGATATCCTTATAAAGTATTGTTATGTTTCAGATGTTTTATGAATACAACAGTAGGTACATATAGAGTGCTGTTAGGTGGGGTGGGTTAGAGTTTTGGAAATCTACATATGACTGACTTTGATTATATAATTTACTTTAGAACAATGATGGGAAAATATCATATTTTAACCCTATTTGCTTTCATTTGTTCACCTTGGTTTCTTTTCCGATTGCCACTGTGAATAAGTAAAGAGTTGAAGGATTAAATTTGTCTTGAAGAATGATTCTGCCTATAATACAACTTTGCCAAAATAGTTAAGTCACATATTAGATGTTTGAAGAAACACCATTGCTAACTGTAGTAGAAACTTGCTTGCCATTTCATCTTTGCAAGCATTAAATGTGAATCAGAATAACTAGAGGAGACATCTTATGTAGGAGTTGGAGTGACAAAAGATGCCATTTTTAATTAAACAATATAACTTGATTGTT